GATAGTTCCATGCCCATTCGCCTCAAAATATATGCCAATATCAAATTCAGCAGCTTTTTCATGCAAGTATTTGACTCCTGTTGGAGTAAGCACAACTTCTAGACCCATCTCTTTAAGGTAATCAGTTGATGCTCCGTTCGCATAAGCTGTCTGTACAACACCTAAATGTGCTTGGTAAGAGTCATTATCTTTTTTGCTTTCACCGTCGTTCAAAATACTTAGTTGCTCCTTGATAAATAAGGCAAACAAAGACAATATCTTGTCCCCATCAACGAGTTCAATCTTGTTGCTCTCATTCAATATAACTGAAAAATAGACTAGCCGATCAGCATCCCCGTCCAAACTGGCACACCTGAACCACTAGGAGCATTGAAGTAATCAATTTCCACTTCTCTTCACTATGGAAAATGAGGACTTTTAACAACTATTGGAGAAATAGTAAGATTACCATACCAACAGATGATGCTAACCATAACCTCTATCCACTGTGACTAGATACGAGTATAAGATAAAGCATCTTCTTAATGAAGATCTTCCTAAAAGTATGTTTCTTGGAAACAATTGATACAGCAAATTAGCAAGAAATACGATAGTATTGATCGAATTTCCATCGAGTAGGAAATTGAAACAGAGTGCAATCTAAGAAGCGCTACCAGGTTAGTAACTCCTATGCAAATATAACATCCCAAGTAAGGCCAAGAAAGACAACAGAAGTGCAATAACATAGGTATAAAAGGGATCTTAACAAATCCATATGATGAAAACAAGTTGAATCAAATCATCATCACCACACACCAGTGGGAGAAATCACATAGGATATAATCAGATTTCCTCTTTCTGGTTTATGTCTAGATAGTAGGTCCAAACTATTCTCTTTCTTGGATAGGTAAAATAGGTTCATATTACTAAACTTCCATCCAAATGAAAATTAAATTAGTGACTATCATGTTACAGTTAAACAGAACTAGACTCACTAGATAGCCAAACACTGTGATTAGACATTGTTCAACAAAAGCTATTCTATAAAAGAATAACAAGATGTGTCACCTTAAGCCAGCATCGGCAGGACCAAATCCACGTGGAGCAACCTTCTCTTTTTGCACATAGTCAGCACCAACACCTTCATTAAGCATACCATCTCCCCGGTTACGAACTTCAATGCACAACCCAGTCAACATCTTCCTGAAATGTTCAAGCTTTTCACCACCAACACCATCTGCCCCGTCCACCACCAATGCATTATCATCACCATTTTTCCTGATTCCCTCAGGCTTCAAATCCATCAAACACCTAAAGAAGTCGGTAGCATTTCTATCAAAACGTATCTCAACTAAATTTAAAGGCTTCAAGAAACTATCGACTCAAACTGACCTGAAAGAGCTTGAAAGTTGATGAAAATAACTAGATTCAGATGCCTCCATGCCTCTATTTCTTGCTCGAACCATCCAATGCAGTTGTGGTGTTGTAACTACTCCCATGTCAGTTCCAATTGCTCCAACAATTGAAGTGATTCCCTTTCAATTGACATTTAGTACTGATAAATACAACTGAATTGCAAATCATATTGTTCTATCTAACTAATCTTGCTAGCCACCAGATAAAATTAATAAGAAAATAACTGTGTGTATAACAATATGATGCACGAGGCCAGAGCCTATAGCAGTCTGTGTTCCACCTGAATTTAACTGCAGTAAAGCAGATAGATATATGACTAAAGAAAAGTGAAGAAAGCCCATGTAAGCTACACAAAAGACATACTTGTTTGGCAGCATCAAGGAGAGCCTCTCCACTAGGCCTTGTGTCTCTTCCTAATAACACCTCCGCTGGCTGTCTTCCTTCAAAGCCAATATCTTCTTTCTTTGCAAATTCAATTATTAGCTGTTTCCAGACAAGATATTATGAATCAGAACCTAGCTAATTGACAGAATACTAATCCATTACTTGACGCAATGGAATACAGGAAGAAGCGCAAAACAGAGAAGATAACATCAAATTTTTATTAGCTTCTGCAAATGTCAAACTACTTTATCATCATCACTAAAAATCATTATAAGCACAAAAGTAACTCACTCATGCAGTGCAACTATAACTACATATTGGAGTCTCAATCAATAGTAACAGTCCAGAATCACAGTATAATAATGTTGAACTTCCACTAATCTAGAAAAAGGAACCCCCTTTCCACCTTCTCAATACTAATTATGGGAAGTTCAACCGATAGAAAAAATTACAAAAACCAATAACAAGAAATGTCCTACATTTGTTTCATACTTGCCAGTTATACTCTTCTTTGAATACTTGTTCTCTGGTTTCTGTTCTTCTACTTCTGTTCAAGTGGCATGTGCTAGCTATGACTTTAAAAAGATTAGCAGAAGAGGCGAAAGAATAGCCAACGAACTAATACACCCCATCGCCTGCCCATTATAGTGAAATTCTGATCATTAAGGGGCTGAGAGAACATGAGTTTTTCCATATAATGACAACATACTTTACTCACTTAAACTACTTAAATGAGTTGTGCCCAATTCCCATTATGTAACGCCATGGCATATGAGTACTGATTTATAAGTAGACTGAACACAAACCCTACCTTGAACAAAAGAGAAGTACAAGAAAGGACATTTTCTCGATAAAGAAAGTATTGAACTTCTCGACTCACTGCACCTGTAGTAAGTCAAAGTTTCTCTACACGGTTCTTCTGTCCATTAGTTTAATCAAGAATTTATTCGAAAGATTCTAACTTCATTTTATTATCTCTTTCTTCTCTTTCAGTTGAAATTTCCCCTTCTTTCCGTTCCCAGCAACACTTTCACCCAAAAAATTTCCATATCTCTCAATCCCTCTAACTAGCCTTATTTGCAGCAGCCATCCTAATTTTTGTGAAGTAATCCTCTTTTTCTAAACAGTATACTATAACAGCAACCATACATCAATCATTCAATCGATGCCTCAATTGAAAACTACTTGTACCCGTTGTGCTCTATTCCAGCCCATTTCATAACCATAGAAATCTTCAAAAGTATCCAAATTTATCGAATTAACATACATTTTTCCACTTGAATGATTATAAGTGTATAAGAAAAATGATAGTAGTTTTTTCTTTTCCATGTTTTCGAAAATTTGAAAGTCTGCAAAAATGGTGTATGTATGTTTAAAAAAATAAAGAGAAGACATTGGAACCTGAAGGAGGGAATGTGGATCAGGGGCATTAGCAATGGCATCAGCAAAAGGCTCCCAATCCTGAGTCAACATTCCACCACTTGGATCAGCCACTTTGACTCCATTGTCTGATACTTGATTGTGGGATGCAGTGATCATCAGACCTATCACTGATCCAGTTTTCAACGACCTTAACGCCGCCAATATCCCCACTCTGAACACTGTTGATTCCAACAATGATGCATCAGCTCGAAACCCAGCTGTCCCGTATGACAGCTTCACCCCTGTTCATACATTTTCCAAGAAAATCAATCAACAACCAATCAACGACATCTCGATCCAAAACTAGTTGGTTCTGTTTTTCTGATGAATCATTTGCAATTCCACACCCACTTGGACTCATTTAGCTCATACATTTTACAAGAAAACCAATCAACAATCAATCAACTACATCTCGATCCAAAACTAGTTGGATCTGGTTTTTTATGCCTCATTTCCATTTCTACACCCTCTTGGACTCATTTAGCTCATACATTTTCCAAGAAAACCAATCAACAATCAATCAACTACATCTCGATCCAAAACTAGTTGGGTCTGTTTTTTTTATGAATCTTTTGCATTTCCACACCCACTTGGACTCATTTGGTTCATAAATTCAATATAAAATCAGTCAACAATCAATCAATTACGCCTCAATCCCAAATTAGCTAACGCTTATTATAGAAATCTTCTGCATCCATTCTGCTTTGTTCAGACCCATTTCATTTCAATAATAAATCATTTGTACAGTAAACTAATGATTTTTTTAAAAAAGAAGTCAAATTGAGAATAATAATATTGGAGTTTTTGAAGGAGATCTCGGAAAATTCATTGCATGAATCATTACAATAATACCTTTGGGAGGAGGGAAACGAGCGGCGGATTCGAGGAGAAGTGATTGCTGCTTTTCGTTCATCTTTTTGATTCTGGAAAATGAATTGAGCTCCAACCAGAGAACACTCTGTCTTCAATGGAGTTTATACTTCTTTCTAGTTTGCTATTCTTTTCTTTGCTCCTATGTTAATTGTCATGTTTGAAGTCGAATCGAGACATCTAATTAAAGAGGACGTAACTCGAATTCAAGACTTCTGGTTAAAGGAGAAAAGAATGCTTAGCATCATAATCCTTGTTGGTTGATATAATTATTTTACTATAATATCCCTATTTGGAGAATAACTAATTAATACTAAAGTAAAACATAGATTATTTTTTTCATCTTTTATGTCTATATTAAAAGTGACAAATAAAATTGAAAATCTATTTTTGAAATAATGAACAAGTAAAAGTGAAAAAAGGAAAGTAGTTGAAAGTTGCATATATTTTCTAGGGACGAATAGATTTACTTATTAGACGTTACTTGTTTGAAAGTTACACATGAGATACTTTTATTTATCCTAGTCAAACTTCCTTCGTGTGATGTTAGTATTTATATCACATACACTGATGTAAGTGAAATCAAATCTTGCCTATCAAATAAGAGTCCTACCGAAGATCCGGTGTCTAAGGTGTCTAGGATTTCTCCCCAAAAGTAAGTAGGAGTGATATCACACCTTTTTGTTTGTTTCAGAATCATTTGTTTAAGCGAGGCGTGCTAAACCCACTACTTACTACACCAACGGGTGGCTAGCCTGAATGCCGAGTCTTTCTCTACCGTGAACTCGTACAAAACGACTCCGAGGTAAAACTTTTCAATTTTTCGAAAACAAAATGTTGTGAAGATTGTTTACTAGTATGGACTATATTTTCTTGGATTATAGCATCAATAAGTTCTGTTCAATCATGAAATGCTTCTCACAAATGGGCTCCAATTACACAACTGAAATTTCAATCAATAAAAATGATTCATCCTGCAAGAAGTATAAATCATCAAATGCAGCACGCATGGGTTACGTTTGACTTATAACAGCCAAGAATTTACAGATAACAATGTTTCTATCTACAAAACATAACAACAAGAGGCATGGTCATCGAGTCTGCAAAGTTGAAGCTCGATATTCTGATGAACACAAACAAAGCAGGAAGCAGAACGTCTATCTCAGAACCTACTGTAGCCATCGTCTTCACTCATCCCAAGATAACACAAGAGGGACAGTACAAAAACGAAAAAGGATGAAAGCTCCAATGCCATGGCTCCCCAACCAATTACACCAGCATGTTTTAAGATGATCGGAATTGCTATGCTGCCAACGGTGGATGCTCCAGTCAAGAACTTTGTTGCATTTAGCCAACTGTTATACATATCATTTAAAATCAAATATGAGGCCTGATGCTTGAGAATAAGTATCATAGTATGACGTGCATAAGAAAACAAGGCTCACCAGCTTCCAGATTCGGTGTAGAGACTGGAAGTATCTGAACCGGCAAAGAACATCAAAGGCATAGGCAGAGTGACATACATTATAACTACAGCAATAAATACCAACAATAGTCAGGATCCGTGATAGATACAGCCTTTCTGACAATCTCAAATATAACAAAAGATTTGTCAAGATGAGAAAACACGTCTTATGCCTTCTAAATGTTCATGGTCTCCAAGCCAAGCACAAAATTATGTAATTGTAATACACAACCCAACTTAACGAGCAGTAAAAGTCTTTCTAACACAATTGAATCCTTTTATGCATACATTAGCACTGAGTTTCTAACTTTGCATAAGGGGATGACCGGAAGTAAGAGTAAATGAACGATCTATTTTAAATTTGCACAAGGGGGTGACTGGGAGTAAGAGCAAAGGGATGATCGAGCACACACGATATGATTTTCTATTTAATTCAAGATTTATGTTTTTAACACACCTGTCAACATTGGCCACCAGTTATTATACAAAGCACATGCCTACAACACCATAAAAGGAAAGTCAAATCAGGAAAAATGATACGAACAGAAAAAGTTCCTATAATTCATAGGATATCAAAGGACAATGGGGCGGACCAGTATTTGCAATACAATCCCTCCAGACACTAACATTGCCAAACACGCAAGCCTCCCTGTGTGAAAGCATGTTCTGAAATAACCTGGCATGTCCGCCATTATCTTGCCCAAATCATACACCAGAATGGCTGCAGTACAGATTTAAAGCCCAGTATCAAAATAAGGATTTCCAGGCCATACGATGAGTGTAATAAATAAATTGAGCAATTAATCGGAAACAATAGGACAAAGAGCTAAGCAAAATAAAGGTGTATTAAGCCAGTTTCAAAATAAGGATTTTCAGACCATATGATGTGTATAATAAATTATTATTGATGACCACAGTCTTTACTGTTGCCTTATCCAGGTTTCCTAGAAAGTCAAAAACTCCACAAGTTGATTCAGTAAAGTGCGAACTAGGAAGCATACTACTCTGTAATGGACTGGAACAGAATTTAGTGCCAATAAATACATCAAAAGCTTATCACCAGACTAGGCATCAGCAGCAAATGATCAATTACGGTATAACAAGTAGTTTTGGTTTGTTTCAAGAAAGGAAACAGGGGATATAAGTATAACAAGTAGTTTATTTTGCAACAGACTAATTAGTGAGAGCTAAATAGAGAAGAGTGTACACGAGCAAGCAATACATGATTTCTCTCTATATGCTTTAAAAATGAAGATGTTTTTTCCAGACTTCTTAATAGCACGCATATTAATGTAACCTACCATTTCAGAAAGTTGGGAAGTTCTTTAAAATATGACAGGTTGTCCATGATAAATTAATATTGCTGCACAAGTTAAGTGAATCAGTGGAGATCCAAGAATGTTATATAGTTTACCATCTCAGAGAATCTCCTTCTCTTTTTCAACACACTCAGTTTGGAAGTCAAGCCCAAACAACATGCTTGAAAGCATCACATTGCCATTTACCAAGGACTTCATGGGGGTCAGGAACAACCTCGGTTTTGATTCTAGGTAAAAGTTTAAATTTAGTACATAACCTACTCGTTATTTTTCTACTTGAGTAGGGCCCCTATAATTTAGACAGTGACAACAATAAACTTGACTTGGAATACATATGCTATCTGACTCAGATTTTAGGCATAGTGAGCTATTTCCTTACGTTATATTTAGCATATAGTCAGAGTTAGACATACTTCATTAACATGTAGATGCAAAAATGTCAAATATACTTTAGGCTCTCATGATCCTACTTTGACATCCAAAGACCAAAAGAGTAGAACGAGAGGATCTTGTTATTCTAATATCAAATCCTCATAAGTCAGAACCTCAAAAAGATTTCAACTTTTATCTAGACTTTAAAATTAACAAGTGCGAGAACTAAACTTTTCTATTCAATCACTTCATATATGCATTAATCCTATACTTCCGCATTGATGCTTGATGAACTTTTGATTCATCCCATTTTTATTTTTATTTTTGATTATGGTGAAATCCGGGTTAGCTTTCACCCACTTCAGCTTTTCCACTGATTACTTCCATTTCCCCCAAGGAATTCAACCATATTTAAGGCAATCTAACAAAGAAAATAGTAAAAGAACCCATACCCTGGTGAACCAATGAAAAAAGACTTAACCTTTGGCAGATAGATTAGTTATAGCTAACCCTCAATTTCAACCCTAGAACTTCTAGTCCTGTTCATAATAGTTCCTATAAATATTCAAATATAATTAGCCATCACATATATTCTGAAAAATATAGAGCTAATTAATTACAGTAAATTTAAATACAAAATGATGAGATTTGGGGATACCGATCACCGATGAACTTCCGGAATAGTTTAGGATACCGATCGCCGGCGGCCGCTTGGATGACCAAGATTCAACTGGAGTTTTCGCCGGAGAATCGCGACAAAGATGTAGGAGAAGCTGGAGAAAATTAAAGGAAAGGTATCTTTAAGTTTTGAATTAGTTATTGGTGACTATATTGACCAACAAAAGGTCAAACATACTTAAATACTAAATTAAGTTAATTGTGGACTCAATTAACATTTTTAAAACTTATAATCTTTTTAAAAATACAAAACAATCCCCCCACTAAATAAACAAACTTTCTACTCCCTCCCCCTCTATCAATCTCACGCTTCTCTTCAACTCTGCTGCAGAAAATTCTCATACTTCCCAAAAATTAAAAATTGCTTTGATTGGAACAATCAATTTCTCCGGCAACTTTCAACTTCCGAGGGCCGTACTTTGAACTTTCGATTCTTCTATTCTAACCATCCAAAGGAACAACAATTTGCAGGTAAAGCTTTAATTTTTTGAAAAAAATTAGGGCTTTTTAGTTTGTTTTTTTT